AGTTATTCGCTAGCTTAAATAAATGCAATTAAATAAAGAAATGAAAATAGTCTTTAACCTAATTTTAAATGAAAATAAATATTTTCTTCAAGTAGAACAACTTAAAACTAAAATTCAACTCATAAAATAGTAATATTTAACCAACAGGAGCTCAAAATAAGTTACAAAAGCCACTACCTTGCGGTAAACTCGCGTTTACACGATGCCACTTGCAGTAGGAAACCTGCTCCAGGTAACCAGTGGCAGGTTACTGAGTACTCAACCTGTCCCAAAATTTGCAAGTACATACATTGCCTTATTTTTAGGGCAGATTGCGTTTATGTTTGTTCCAGAAAAAGTACGGCCAGCGTTGTCATTCTGACAGAATATGACACCAAATGACACAAACTGTTAGTAGAATATCCAATAAAGTTAAGGAAACAGTTCGTTAGTTGGATTCCGGAGCTTGCTATAGATAGGGAGTGTTATATATATTTAAAATTACATCATAATTGCGCTGAAAAAAAAGAGTATCCTAGTTACGAAAATAGCAAGAAAGGAAATTGTCAATAAATTAAGTTTGTTCCGTTCTGTTCCATTCATATAAATCAGAATCCACGAAATACAAATATAACAAGTGGCGACGAGGATAAGGAAGAATATTACAAAGTACAATGAATACCACACCTACAAATACAGTACAGCAGTCATTGAATACAGTACAACATTCATTTATAATTGAAGCGTTCAACCCAAGTACAACATCATGGGCCAGGTGGGTAAAACGTCTAGAAGGTGCTTTCAAGGTATTTAATACTACGGATGATATGAAAGTGTACTACATATTACACTACATGGGTGCGAGTACGTATGACATCCTCGCAGACAAATTATCTCCGGTGGAACCAGAAAGTAAAACGTATATAGAAATTATACAGACGTTGGAACATTTCTACTCACCATCGCCGTTAGAAGTAGCCGAAATATTTAGATTTCAATCTCGTAAACAAGTAGAAGGTGAGTCGATCCAAGAATATTGTCATGCATTACAAAAATTAAGCATCAATTGCAAATTTGGTAATTATTTGAATAACGCTGTAAGGAATCAGTTAGTGTTCGGGCTTCAATCAAAAAGAATACAAACTAGACTACTAGAAACAAAGGACCTGACTTTAGAAAAAGCCATGGAAGTCGCTAGCAGCATGGAAATTACCGAAAAAGATATACAGCAGTTACAACACAAAGGTACAAATGTGCATGCCATCAATTACAATTTCAAGAAGGATACAAAAAATACACACAAGGGAGAAGATACAAGTGCAGCCGCGAAGAAGACCAATTTTCAGGAAAAGAAGAAAATCAATACAGGAAATTTTAATTCTAATAATAATATACATTGTTTTAGATGCGGAGGCAATCATTTTGCCAACAAATGTAAACTAAACAGGAATATCACATGTACATCCTGTGGTGTAAAAGGTCATTTGAGAAAGGTTTGCATGAAGGATAAACAGGTAAATAATGTAGAGGAAATTTTACAAATTACATCGGAATCTACTGAGTACAGAAAGAAATATTCAATTACGTTAAAGCTTCAAAATAAATCAGTAAATTTCGAAGTTGATAGCGGTTCAGCCGTTACGCTTATAAGTTATAAGTCAGCAGTGTTACAGAAAATTGTTTGCTACACATGCTCTTCAATGTACAGATTTAAAGCTATTCTCATATTGTGAAATGCCTGTACAATTAATTGGATATATTACAGTGAACGTTCAATACAATCACCAAAAGTACGATTTGAATTGCTATGTTACAAAACTAGATAGACAACCACTATTGGGTCGCGAATGGATTAGACAGTTAAATTTGTTACAAATAAACAATATTTTACAAATTTCATCCAAAGTAGAAATAGGGTGGAATGATTTATGTAAATGTTACACTACAATTTTTAATAATGACTTTACTAAGATTAGAGGTATACAAGCCAAGCTTCAGTTGAAACCCAACGCAACACCGGTATTTATTAAAGCGCGCCGAATTCCATTTAAACTAGTACCATTAGTTGAAAAAGAAATAGATAAGTTAGTGGAAGCAGGAGGGTTAGAAAAAGTTAATACGTCACAGTGGGCTACACCGGTAGTGCCTGTTTTAAAAAGTAACAATACGATTCGATTATGTGGTGATTTTAAAGTCACTGTTAACCCCAACTTACAGATCGATGAATATCCTTTGCCAACGATTGATGAGTTATTGTCTTCGATGGCAGGAGGAATATATTTTTCAAAAATTGATTTACGAAATGCGTACTTACAACTTGAGGTCGTACCTGAAGACAGACCACTCTTAACATTAAATACACATAAAGGTTTATACCAATGTAATCGATTACTTTACGGAATTGCATCTGCTCCAGCCATTTGGCAAAGAGAAATTGAAAAAATTTTGTGCGATATTCCAGGTGTTACTGTTTTTATAGATGATATTAAAGTTACAGGGTTGTCATACGAGGAACATTTACATACACTAAAAACCGTTTTTGAAAGATTGAGCAAGTACAACATTAAAATTAACAAAGAAAAGAGTGAGTTTTTCAAAGAACAAATCGAATATTGTGGATATGTTATTAATAAAGACGGTATACATAAATGCAAAAAGAAAATGGATGCCATTACACAAATGCCTCGACCTAATAATGTTTCAGAAGTACGAGCATTCATTGGCTTTGTAAATTATTACGGAAAGTTTATAAAGAATTTAAGTACAATTCTTTATCCACTAAATCGATTATTATGCAAAAACTCTAAGTTCCATTGGTCAAAAGAATGTGAAAATAGTTTTCAACTTGCAAAAACAGAATTTCAAAGTAACGAATTTCTTGTTCATTTTAATCCAGAAAAACCAATCATAGTTGCTACAGATGCAAGCTCTTATGGTGTGGGAGCGGTTCTTTCACATGTTGAACCAGATGGTACAGAACGAGTCATACAATATGCATCACAAACATTATTTTTGCAAGGGTTTAATTACACTATTAAATACAAAAATACAAATAATCATGGTAACGCAGATGGTTTATCAAGACTTCCAAGTAGAGCAGACACATCAAATTACGATGTAATTGATATTTTCCAAATTGATACAGTTGAAACTTTACCGATTACAGCACAAAAATTAGCTGAAGAAAGTAGGAAAGATTTAGGTATTTCAAAGCTTATCACATCCTTACAAGTACAGAAAAATATTCCTAAAGATGAAAGATGGAATATAGAACAAAATGAATTTAGCATTCAGCAAGGTGTTTTAATGAGAGGACACCGAGCAGTAATTCCTAAACAGTTAAGTACGTAAATCTATATTAGACGAGTTACATGAAGGACACTTTGGGATGGCTAAGATGAAAGGGTTAGCACGAGGAATTTGTTGGTGGCCGGGTATTGATGCAGATATAGAAAATACTGCTAAAAAATGTGTTAGTTGTAACCATTGAATAAAAATAGTGTTTTTATTCAATGTTGTAACCTAGTCAGAAATAATCCCAAACAAGTAGAAAAGCATATTTGGGAACCAGCTGATCAACCGTTTCATCGTGTACACGCAGATTTTGCAGGACCTTTCATGGGTAAATATTTTTTTATTTTAGTTGATAGTTATTCAAAATATCCATTTACATACGTTGTTAATGATATCACAGCGAAAACTACAATAAAAGTTTGTAGAGAAATTTTTGCTGCATTCGGATTATCAAAAGTTTTTGTAACCGATAATGGCAGTACATTTCATTCAAGAGAGTTTCAAAACTTTTTGAAACAAAACGGAGTTAGTTCCAAATTTACAGCTCCTTACAATCCATCAACAAACGGGCAGGCGGAACGTTTTGTTCAAACTCTAAAAAAATCACTTTTGAGTACTCGATGCACTAATAATGAAATAGACCAAAATGTACAAAAAATTTTAATGAAATACAGAATTATGCCTCATAATGTTACACAAGTATCACCATCAAAATTAATGTTTGGAAGACAAATACGTTCTCGTTTAGACAGTTTTCTTCCTGACAAAGAACAAGATCATGTAGTTAATTTTGAAAAAGAATGTGTGGAATTTCAAAGGGGTGATAGAGTCCAATGTAGGATTTATGTTGGTAAAAACAAGTGGACTTTTGGGAAAATATCCAAAAGAACAGGTAGATTACATTATGAGATTACATTGGACAATGGTAAAATATGCAGAAGACATATAAATCAGATGATGAAATGTCACAGAAACGTACCAGTACAATCCGATGTAGAATTAGATCATTTTGATTATGTAAATCCCGAATCAGACTCAAATGAACCAATTCAACCACGACAAGAAAATTTACAAGAACCTGAACATGTAACACAGAATGTAAGACCACGAAGAAATGTTAGATTTCCACAATACTTACAAGATTATGATCTTAATTAAATGTACATTTCTTCATGGTTGTGAATTTAAGGTATTTTATTTAGCGAGGGAAGTGTTATATATATTTAAAATTACATCATAATTGCGCTGAAAAAAAAGAGTATCCTAGTTACGAAAATAGCAAGAAAGGAAATTGTCAATAAATTAAGTTTGTTCCGTTCTGTTCCATTCATATAAATCAGAATCCACGAAATACAAATATAACAAGGAGCACCTTACTCTCTTTGGTGGAAGCTCCAAGAAATCCAACGTCCAAACCAAAAAAAATACTACATCCTTTGTAGGCGTTACATCAGTCGTCATATTTATTCCAACATATAGAGGACAACAGTTTGATGAACAAGAGGCATGATATCGATATCGATTTGTTTTTAGTGTTCAGCTTTGAGTTGGAGTAAGCGAGTAATAAATTTTGCGAAACAAACGAGGCGGCTTAAGGTACAATTTAATCCCTCATAGTCATATACTGGCGCTCATTCACATTTCAAGCGATGTTCTCAAATCGCTTTGACTTCACAAGCAGTACAATCTAATGCCTTTATAATTACAATAGGTACACTTAACGTTACCTTTAGCTGATCTCGATCTCGGTGCTGCCGGCAGCGTGTCAAGATAGTTTGGAGATTCTTTTTCAGTGCCTTCTTCTTTAATCACCTTTGGTTCCATAATCTGCAAAATACAAAATGACACGTAATGCGGTAACGAAGAAAGTGAACTCTTTTGCGTTAAAATCAGCAATTAGTAAAGCAGCATCGGAGAAGGCACACAACCAATCGCGATAATTAGATTTTAAACCACCAAATGGCACCATCTGTATTCTAAACACGATGACGTCATAAAACAAAAATCACAGCTCTCGAAATTTAACTAGAAAAACGTGACGCACATTCTAATTGAGAATTATTAAATTGCAAAGCTAAAATTTTGTAATAGACTTCACATCTGTTTTAAATATATTTGGAAGAATAAAATAAAAGCGTACTACTCTATACTCCCATCCCAAGCGCAAATTATTTTAAAAGCTTTTGGGTTGTATAACGACGAAGAAAAATATAATTAGGGAAAATAAGAATCGTAATTTGCGTAAATGATAATGAGCACAAAATAACAGAACCTCTTGGTTGAAGAAAAACAGACCGGGAACGTGCGAACGCGTTTCCTTTTCCATGATGCGATGAAAAGCAGGATATATCGCAGGTGGCCCAACGTCAAATGGCTATACCCTAACTTAACAGTTTCAACTTAACAGATACTCTGGGGACATTTGTACGCAAAACTGATACGAGAAATTTATTACCTTCTCTCGCACCCCTTTCGCGCCGTTTCATTTTATTCCAATTTCTATTCAAACGATTGTTATTGGTGTAAAGATATTTTCTTATGAGCTTTCGAACGAATTTATTTTTCTCTGAGGATATGAATTGGGCCTAGTAGCTTTTTTTGGTTAAAATATTGCTTTAGTGCTCGCAGTACGCTTACAAGCGACGAGAAAGCTCTGTAAATCAAAATCTAATTAAACGACCAGGTTTGCATTTTTGCACAGCAAGTACATTGAGGACTATCCACCACTTGGATCTTATATAGATGCGCTGGAAATTTTCCGTGAGCAGCTGTAATCTGGCTATTGTGACTTTGTATCTGCGAGAGGCAACGTTGTTTGCATTACTCGTCGGACGAAGTGTTACTTCCACGTGAATTAAGGCACACATGATTCAAATTCGAGGGCCTCCATGCCATTTCATTTATCATTTTATTATTTGTGATGTATACAATAGTATTTTCACACGTCATCAGGTACAATTACATAATATTAAAAAAAAAAGGCAAAGGACACGAGAACATGATCACACAAGGTACTGTTGCTTTTAAAACTTAAATGTTATCAAATTTATCTTTTAAAAATTCTTCATAAGAATAAAAAGCTTTTCGTTTAGGTAACTATTTGCACAGTTTTTAAATGCGTGCAAATCTAAATATTTTATTTGTTTTGGCAAGACATTGAAAAATTTCATGCCGTAAAATGTAGTGCCATCTTTGGTCTTGTTTAATCTATGAAACGGTATATAAAGATTCTCTTTGTTCCTTGTATTGTAAGTATGAATATCGGTGCTTACAGTTAGTGTAGTCATGTGTTCTTTAGTATATATTAAACATTGCTGTATGTAAATGCAAGGTAATGTCAATATATTTAATTCGATAAAACCCTGACGACAACAATCTCTGTATTTAAGATTTTTTAATAATCGTATACATTTGCGCTGCAAACCAAATAATACTCGAGAGTGGGCAGAATGGCCCCATGCAAGAATTGCATAAGATAATACCGAATGAAATATGCCATAGTATGCTGCCATAACAGTTTCCTTCGTAGTCACCCTTATTAAATTGCGAATCAAAAATAGTGCTCTAGCTAATTTAACCATGGGAATGGTTTCAATTTGGCAAAGTAATTTGTTGCTTAAGCTTAACTTAAACTCTCGGTGTAGGTAATGAACCACTTCCCAGCTCTACTATTGTCAATCAATTAATTGTGTGTTTATTCGAGTCTTTGCGCGACCTGGATAGAGTTTTCATCTCAGATTTTTGTCTCGTGTCCAAGAATTGTGTCAAGTGTCGGGAAAATTTGTGTAGTTATGTAGATGTCAGATACTAGGTACGCGATAAGTCTTTATTAACAAATATTAGAAACACAAAACGTATAAAAGATAAAACATAGACATGGGACATGCTTTCATTTTCAGAGTACTCTCTCGACTGACTCGACTCAATCTCCTTCCCCACCCATGCGAGTCGGATTTCCTACAGTTTCGGCCATTCTGATAAACAGACCGGCCCGGTCGTCCTCTTCATCTTCATTTTCGCTTGCGTACCAATCCTCTTCGTCTGGAATGTACAGTCGCAAACGATCACTTGGTAGGATACCAGAATAGAACCGTTGATTGTATTGGCACCCGGGGATGTCTTCTACCACGTAGGGGTCGTGATCGAGAACTTTAACCACAATATATGGGCCCTTAAATTTGGGTTGTAGTTTCCCTTGTTGCGGAGCAGTATTCTTTATCAGGACGTAATCGCCAACGGCATATAGCGGTGGTGGACGTCGTCGAAGATCGTAGCGACGCTTGTTGTCCATTTGAACGATAGTCTGCTGCCTCTCGGCTTCTTCTCTTATGCGGCTCCGATTTTCTGCGTGATCGAATTCTAGTTGAACTGCATCATGAACAAGATCGCGAAGCCCTTGATCGGATTGAAGACGCAGGTCGTACCCAAATAGCACCTTCGCGGGTGAGTTTGCTAAGCTTCGTTGCAAGGTATTATTTAGAATGAGTTGCACACGCGGTAACTTGGCACACCAATCGGTATCGGTTTCAATAACTTTTGCGAGAATGTTACAAATGGTTCGATTATAACGCTCTACCTGTCCGTTTGCACGGGGCGTAGCGGTAGCCACAAGTACTTGCTTAACTTCGTGGCAGCACATAAAGTCTTTAAAGTCCTGTGACGTAAAAGCGCTTCCGCGGTCACACACTAGTGTTTGTGGCGGCCCGAAAATGGTGAAAATGTTTATTAAGTGAGCTATCACTTCTCGAGTGTTTGTGGTTTTCGTGGCGTTTAAAAACACGAACTTACTGTACGCGTCGATCACAACAAACACGTGTCGATTTCCGGCAATCGATTTTTCTAGTGGCCCGAGATGGTCACAGTGCAAGGTTTTGAAAGGAATAGTACCTTTAGGGATATTGTGCAGTCTACCAGGAAGCGGACCGGGTGAAGGGTTATGGGTCATGCACTTAATGCAATGTTTAATATGCTTCTTTACGAATCTCCTCAGACTAGGGAACCAATACGATCGTTGTAGTAATTCAATGGTCTTATCCAGTCCGATATGCCCATTATCGTCATGCGCTGCACGCACTATATTAAGTCGCATGGCATGGGGCGTCACGTACACAAAGTTATCTGGGGTTAACTCATAGCATAGTACACCGTTTTTCAGTGAAAATTGCTTATCGGGCGGTTCCTTGCCTTCATCAAATAGCTCGAGAGTAGCACGAATTTCTTCGTCCTTTTGCTGCATCATTTTTAGTAATCGTAGATTATCTTCAGGGTCCGTTCTTCCAATTAGGTTTATCATCGTTACGCGGCTAAGGGCGTCCACGTGTTGCATGGATGTAGAACTTCTATGCTCCATTGTATAATTAAAGTCTTCTAATACGATTGACCAACGATATATTCTGGAATTTATCTCTCGTTTAGAAAGGGCTAACTTTAAAGCGTTACAATCGGTCACTAATTTGAATGGTATACCAAGCAGATATACGCGGAACTTTTCCAGACTTCTAACTATAGCGAGAAGTTCGAGTTCGAAAGAGCAGTAGCGACTTTCTGCATCAGTCGTCGTCATGGATAGGTAATAAATGGGATGTAATTTGCCGTCGGAGTGACGTTGCAATAAAACAGCACCGTAACCATACGAACTCGCATCTGTGTGTAGCTCGGTTTCCTTATCGGGAGAGTAAATTTTTAGCACTGGTTCGCTAGCTAATAGGCGCTTGATTTCTTCAAATGCTTCCATCTGGTCGTTGTCAAATTGGAACTTCTGGTCCTTCTTGGTCAGCTTCGTTAAAGGTCGTGCAATCGCCGAATACGAGGGAATAAATCTACGGAAGTAACCTGCCAGGCCAAGAAACCTTTGAATTTGTTTGGCTGTGGTGGGGACAGGAAATTTCATGACGGCTTCGGTTTTCAATTTTTGTGGTCTCACTTCGTCTTGTTGGATTCTGTATCCCAAGTATTCCACTTCGGTACGTAAAAAAGAACATTTATCGTAACGAAGTTTCAGTCCATACTTACGAACTCTTTCCAATATTTGTCTGAGCCTTTCGATACCTTCTTCTACTGTTCGAGAAGGTATAAGTATGTCGTCGATGTAAACTAAAACTGTCGCTTGGAAGATCAAATCTTCGAAAATCTTGGTGACGTACCGTTGAAACGTTGCGGGGCTATTTGCAAGACCGAATGGCATGTAATTGTACTCGTACAAACCAGACGCTGTTACAAAAGCTGTGTATTTTTTCGATGATTCGGCCACCGGTACATGGAAAAATCCATTTTTTAGATCGAGAACGGTAAAGTATTTGTGCGAGGATAATGCGTCTATATGATCGTTTATAAGCGGTATAGGGAATTTGTCTTTCAAAGTGATTTTGTTGAGAGCACGATAATCCACGCACATGCGCTTTTCACCGTTCTTTTTATCCACTAGCACTACAGGACTGGCGTAATTGGACTTGCTTTGGCGGATTATTCCTTTTGAGAGTAAATCTTGCACTATGTTGTCTACCGTCGATTGCTCAGATTTTGCTAAACGTCGGGGGCGATAAACAATGGGCTCCTCCGATACTAGACGAATGTCCATTTCAAATTCAGAGAGTTGCACCCGAGGTTGTAGCAAATCGTTTGTATGCTGTTCGGTCTCGCCTATCAGACGGGTGATCACTTGTTTTGTTTGTTCAGGTAAGTAGGGATTTACGTCCAATGTTAATTCACTAATCGGAACGCTAATATTGTTCAGTTCGGATTCAGTTTGATCGATTGAATCGTCTAGGACTTGTATGTTAGTTATTCCGTTTTCGATGCGCAGAACTACATTGGGTTGCGTAAGTAAG